GGGAACACAAACAAGTGCAGAACTAAGCCTGGATGGGATGCTTGTCACAGCACTGTTCTGCTGTGTAGTGCTAAGTTACTCATCTAACATACTACTGTGTTTCCCCAAAAATAAGACACTGTCTTATTTTTTCTCGAGAAGACACACTGGGGCTTATTTTCAGGGGATGTCTTATTTTTACTAAGGTAGAATACAACAATCTACATTTATTCAAATACAGTTAAGTCATCTTCTTCTGGAACCTGACAGGGGGAGCTGACCTTGTTGGTGGGGCTGGCGCTAGTGATGCGTCAACTCCTTTCCCCTAACCGTTGGCACGCGCGCAATAGCACTGGCACGAGTACGAATGGCTCGGAGAAAGGAGCTGTGGCAGATAAAAGGTATTCCAGTCTTCCTTACCGCTCTGTATCTGCATAGCCATGCCCATCACTAGGTCTTATTATTGGGGGAGGGCTTATATTTAACAAATGCATAGAAATCCTGCTAGGGCTTATTTTGGGGGTAACTCTTGTTTTCGGGGAAACATGGTACCTCCCAAATTTCTGCTATTGGAAAATGAAGGAAGTATGCTTGGGGAAAATCTACTTGCCTTAGATAAATCACTGAAATAGCTAAAGCAGCTTTCTCATCTGTAAAATAGGAGACAGTAATACTTCACAGGACTACTATGCAGATCAGAGGATGACATGATTTGCAAAGTATTATGCACATGTATTTGTCATTATTTATACTATTGTCATCTAATTGTCACTTACCTGCTATGATTCCACTGAGAATTATGTTCTGGTTTGTCCTTTTGCCTGCCTTTGTTATTGTTAAGTCACATCTGGAGTGGTTTTATTTTATCAATAAATATTTGTTGATTGAGGTAAACAACAAAAGATATAAGTGATTCCTCTTACTATGTTCTGTGTAGAGGTCAGAGATATTTGAGAAAACTAGTTGTTCCTTAGTCAATTAGCTCCAAGACACAGGGAGGTGATATAAAACTCATGGATTGGCTGATCAGTGTAGCAACCCATTAAATACATTCTTGGAACACTCACTCAGTCCAGAGGGGAAAAGGCTCTGAGCATAACCTGCTGGTGATCTGAATTTATCCTGAGTCATTTATCAAATTGCCTCAGGAAACTGTGGAAATGCATGACTTGTTAGTAGCAGCTGAGGTGGACCTGTTTCACCTCTGCCAAATGAATCAAGTAGTCATCATACATTCCATAAGATATCCTAAGCTCTTTTGTCCTTCAAGACACCACTGACTTGAAATTAAAATGTTGATTGGTATTAAAAGGTCTTGGGGGAAATCCTGCATAAAAGTTTTAAAGAGAGCGCTGTGCCTCACACTGGCTCTAATCCCCAGCACATTATGTATGGAATCAGTTCCATCTGTTCTATGCCACTCTGTCCTCTGTCTCTGTCCTATAGTATATCTTTCCCCCGATCTGCTTCACATGACTATTCCTCAGCAGCATGGAACATGAGGTCTTTCTCTCTCACTGCCCTCCCATGTGGTCGCATCCCTTTGGCTTCATTTCTCTCTCAATCTAATACACCTGTCAGTCAATTCAATAATTTTACTATTTTTCTCAAGTTACTTTATTACTGGTCAAACTTAAAAATTGGTTCAGTGGAGCTCATTTCTTCCTTAGGCCTATACTGCTGAGAAGTGTTAGAGAAAATTTCAACTCCTCTGACGAAGGCTGTAACAAAGGGGAAGGTTTAAAAACATGCCAAAACTTCCCCCACTCTTTCTGGAAACTGAAGTCTGCCTCCCTGCCTTGGGCCATGGTCGGGGGGCAGAGAAATGTCTTCTGTTCTTTGTGCTACAGGAAATGGTTCAGGTGAACTACATGAGATGGAGATGGAGGCCCAGACTGGCTGGCAGAAGCCCATGAGCCTCCCGGGTGGGGTGGGAAGAGGTCATGGCTTTGTCTTCTGCAGAGATGGGAAGATTAGGATTATTAACTGTAGTTGAATGGCAATAGGCCCTCCTCTTTAAAAGCTCTTGTGAGAGTCAAACTAGCTCCATTTTGTTGTTTACAGCACAAGCTCCATTCTTGGCTGTATACAGCACAAGCCCCATTCCTAGCTGTTTACCGCATAGCCCTTCCGCCCCAACCTCTGCCAGTGAAACCTGCAAGGCCACTCCCTGCTGCCTTCCCCCACCCCAGGTTGCACAGCCACTGCGCTGTAAACTGAGTCACCTTAGGCAAATAGCTACTATAATAAACAATAAGTTTCTATTACCTTGAAATACAGGTAACCAGGTTGCACCAATTCTAGCCCCCAGTTAAGGGACCCCCCACCCCTCACCTGTACCAATCCAAATTCACCTTTACTAGTGAAATCATCAGCTGCCAATGCAAATCCTCTTTTACTTCCTCCTTTACTAATGAAATCACCAACCACCAATGAAAAGTGTACTCATATCCAACCCTACCCCTCTTGCTTTCTGTACCCATAAAAACTTCCTCCACCCCGGGTTCGGGGCTCGTCCTTGGCTTGCATGCCAGGAGAGTCCGGGCTTCCTGGGGCCTGAATAAAACTCACCTTTTGCCTTTTACATCGGAGCGTGTCTCGGATTCATCTGTTTGGGCTGTTTGGGAGAATAATTTTTCAGACCTAACACTCTGTCTTCTGCTTATGTTGAAGAAAATTTGGTATTTTGAGAAGGTCAGCCATGTTCCCTCCTTTGCCACCAAAGTAATAAATTTCCCTTTCCTTCCTTTCAAACCTCTTGTTTCTTCTGAGGTGATCTCAAGGGCAAGGGCTGAGCTTTGGTGACAAGGTCAATATGTGGTCATGGTCTTCAACATCAGGCGAACCACTTAGCATGCCTTCTAGATTTCCTCTGGTAATTTCTCCATTCTTTTTCATAGGTGTTCAAATTTCAATGGCTCGTTTCATACCTCACATCATACACCAACTTATTAATTCTAGGCAGGGGACTTGTCCTTCTAGCTCAGAGAGAGAATCAAAGCCTTCAGGTAACTCCCTGCCCCAAAGCTACAAATCTCTAGAGATCTGTATCTAAAGTTTACTCTTATCTCATTGAAGTAGATGTCCTTTCTCCTTCCTAATAATAACACTTCTAATTGTGCTTTGCATTGCATAGATGCAACAGGTATTTTTGTTCAGCAAGTATTATTTTTTTTTTTGTAGAGATAGAGTCTCATTTTATCGTCCTCGGTAGAGTGCTATGGTGTCACAGCTCACAGCAACCTCCAACTCCTGGGCTTAGGCGATTCTCTTTCCTCAACCTCTCGAGTAGCTGGGACTACAAGTGCCCACCACAACAACTGGCTATTTTTGCTGCAGTTTGGCCGGGGTGGAGTTTGAACCCTCCACCCTCAGTATATGAGGCTGGCACCCTACCCACTGAGCCACAGGCACCACCCAGCAAGTATGATTTAAGAAATTTTATCTGGCAAGCACAGTGTGGAGGATGCAAAACAAACAGGGCCTCTGTTTCTCAGTCCTCACAGAGTTCACATCATGAGGAGGAAACGTAATTTTTCTTTTTGAAAAAGCAAAAATATATATATATATAACAAACATCATAAGCGCAAAGAACTAAACAAAGGCTGAGAGAGGAAAAAATAGATAAAGAGGGAGTGGAGAAGATTTTGGCAAGGTAGAGGGAGGAAAAATCACTTTCAAAGGTGAGAAAAGGCTTGGTAGATTTGAGAAATGAAAACAGATCAGAGAAAGATTATTGGGAGCAAAGGAGAGAGCTACAGAAAATGACATCCAAGAGGGAGAAGGCATCTTGTGGGCAAGGAGTTTAGACTACATTTTACATGCCTTAAAAAGCCATCGAAGGATTTTAAATAGCAAGATACTTAATGTAATTTGAATTTTATGACAAATCTTAATGTTACAGTAGAAAGGACTGGAGTAGGA